TATGCTCGATGAACTTCTTGATGAGTTACCTCCAATGCGAGACATCCAACATGTTATAGATCTAGTGCCAGGAGCCACGTTATCGAATTTACCGCGTTATAGGATGAGCATGCTAAGTTACACCATCAAATAGATGAATTATTGTGAAAATGCTTCGTTAAGGAGAGCTTGTGTCCTTGTGTCGTTCCTGCTTTGATTACCCCTAAGAAAGATGATAGTTGGCATGTGTGTAGATAGTCGAGCGATTAATAGGATTACTGTTAAGTATAGATTCCCTATTCCTAGGCTAGATGACGTATTAGATGTCATGGTAGGATCTAATATATTTTCTAAGATTGATCTTAGGAGTGGGTACCATCAGATTCGTATCCGTGATGGTGATGAGTGGAAAACCGCATTTAAAACTAAGGATGGGTTGTTTGAATGGTTAGTTATGCTCTTTGGATTGTTCAATGCACTTAGCATCTTTATGAGGCTAATGACACAAGTTTTAAGTCCGTTCCTAGGAAAGTTCGTTGTTGTATATTTTAATGATATTTTAATATTTAGCAAAACCCAGGACGAACATATGTTTCACTTAGTACAAACTTTAGACGTCCTCTGTAAGGAAAAGTTATATGTCAAACTAAAAAAGTGTGAATTCATGTCCACATCAGTCACCTTTTTAGGTTTTGTAGTCTCTAGTGAAGGAGTATCAGCTGACCCTGACTAAGTTAAGGCTATTAGAAAGTGGTCTATTCCTAAGAACATTCATGAAGTCGAAAACTTTCACGGTCTGGCTACATTTTATAGGAGATTTGTCAAAGGATTTAGTATTGTTATGTCACTAATTACAAATTGACTTAAAAAAGGAGATTTCAATGAACTAAATTTGCTACTAGAGCATTTGAGGAAATTAAGGAGAAGCTTATCACTGTCCTAGTATTACGTCTCCCTGACTTCTTTACGGTTTTTGAGGTTGCATGTGATGCCTCAGGAGTAGGTATAGAAGTGTTGAGTCAAGAGGGTCATCCTGTAGCTTACTTTAGTAAAAATTTAAATGAGGCTCGACAACGCTATTCGACCTACGATAAAGAGTTTTATGTTGTGGTATAAAATCTTAAGTATTAGCGTCACTATTTATTACTTAAAGAATTCGTCCTATTCTTGACCATCAAGCCCTATATTTAAATTCCCAAAAGAAATTTGGGCATAGACACATTAAATGGGTAGAATTCATTCAGGAGTACACATTTGTACTTAAACATAAATCCGGGGAAGAAAATAAGGCCGTCGATGCACTAAGTAGGATGTTTAGTATATTAAACACGATGAGTGTACGAGTAATTGGTTTTGAACACATCTTAGGAGAGTACTCCGCTTGTAGAGATTTTGGTAAAATCTACACTTCTCTTGCACATGACCCACCTGAAAGTGTAATAGGTTTCATCATTATAGATGGTTATTTGTTTAAAGATACCCAATTGTGCATCCCCAACACGTCACTTAGGGATCAACTTATTTGGGAGTTACACACAGGAGGAGCTATAGGACACTTTGGCCGTGATAAGACAATTTCTATGGTTGAGGATAGATTTTATTGGCTTAGTGTTAAGAGAGATGTTGCACGGGTAGTGTCACATTGTAGGGTTTGCCAAGTAGCAAAAGGTAGGAAACAAAATACATGGTTATACACACAACTACCTATACCATTCACACCTTGGCAAGACATGAGCATGGATTTTGTCTTAGGACTACCCCGCACCATTAGGAAAAACGATTCCATATTCATAGTGGTGGATAGGTTTTCTAAGATGGCTCATTTTATCCCTTGTAGCAAAACCTCTTACGCGTCTCATATCGCTTTCCTTCTCATGAAAGAGATCATTAGGTTGCATGGCTTACCTAATACAATCGTATCCGATAGGGATGTTAGATTTGTTAGTCACTTTTAGTGCACACTTTGGAGAAAACTAAACACAGGATTACAATTTTCCATGGCATATCACCCCTAAACTGATGGCCAAACAGAGATAGTTAATAGAAGTCTAGGAAATTTATTAAGGTGTCTTGTAGGAGACTATACCAAAGCATGGGATTTAGTTTTGCCTATGGTTGAGTTTGCTTATAATAGTTCTGTTAATAGATCTATAGGATCGAGTCTTTTTGAAGCCGTAACAAGATGTCAGCCTAGGAAACCAGTAGGCTTAGCATCGATTCCTTTGGGACCTAGATTTAGTGCTTCAGCGGACTCTTTTGCACAACATATGCATGACTTGTATCTAGAAATAAGGCGGAAAATTGTTTTAAGTAATGAATCTTATAAACTAGCTGCATATAACCATAGACGTTTGCATGAACTCGCAGTAGGTGATTGGGTGCTTGTTCGGGTGCGACCTGACAGGTTTCCACTAGGAACTGTGCAGAAGCTTCATGCACGGCAAACAAGTCCCTGTCGTGGCATTCAACGTACTGGATCGAATGCTTATGAGCTGGATCTGCCTAAGGAGATGGGGATAAACTCAGTTTTTAATATAGAATATCTAATCCCATATAATGAGTCAATGGGTATAACAGCTTTTGATGAAGCCACTACACCCTCAATCAGCTTGTCGTCACCGCCTACCATGCCTCCAGATAGAGTACCAAAGTCAGATGTGATTGAACAAATCCTTGATGATGAGATTGTATTGACTGCCGATGGAGGATTTTAGAGATATTTGATTTGTTGGCGTGGACATCCGCCTTCAGAGGACTCTTGGCTCTAGACCGAAAAGGTTCAGAAACTTGACCCGGACTTGCTACAGCAGTATCAACAACAACATTACTAGAGGTGAATCTTTCCAAGTCAGGAAGAGTTGATAGGGATCACAATATCCGGTTCTACTCCAGGGGAACTTGGCATTGTAGATAAACTATTAGGCCCCGTTTGGCAAAGGGTTAATGAAGAGGGGTTAAAGAGAAGGATTAATGTACTTAGCCCATTTGATAATCCGAATGACTACATTATTAACCCGTTAAATAAGTTTTATTTTAGCCCTTATGATCAGTTTTAGTGTTTGGGAATAACAATGATTTTGACTATTTTCTTTACAATTAGAAGGGTTAACTCTTATTCCATCTAAATAGGAGTATTAGTAAACCCCTCATTTTGAGGGGTTAACTCATTTTAACCCCTCTAGAGGGGTTAACTTAACCCTTCTATATTTTTTATGTTTGGCAAATTATGGAGGGTTAACTCACTTTAACCCTTATATAAATTTGTTGTGTTTGACAGGTTAAGAAGGGGTTAAGTCTCCTTAACCCCTCACTTAACCCTTTGCCAAACGGTACCTTAGAGATATTTTAGAGTTATTATTAGAAAAGGATGGTGTTGTTTTCAGATTTTAAAAATCTGCATTCAGATTCCTTGTTAGGATAGGATTATGTTTGTTTTCAAATTTTATCTTTGTTAGATGATAAGGTGGTTAAATCAGATTGTATTTAGATGTGATTCAATCTTGTAGATAAGTTTGAGTTTGTTTATCCTATCTCTATAAAAGATAGACCTCTGCTTGCTTTGAGGAAGGACGATTGAAAATAAACGTGAGTTTGAATTGGTATTTGGAGTGATTCCATTGTTTTCTTTATTTCTTTCTTTTTCCTGCGTTCTTTTCGCTGTCAGGCTATTTCCTCTTCATAGATACATCGCAGGGACCCAAACTCCATCATCATCTCTTCTGTTTTGCACAAGGAACAGGTCTGCAGTTTCAGCCATCCTCCCCGCCTTTCGTTCGTTCGCCATCAACACCAACCAGCCCTCAGTCACAAGCCCTCACCATCGCCATCGCCTGCCGCCTGAAACTGAACCAACTAGCCACAAAACCTCAATCTCGCTGCCCCAAGATCCCAACCAGATTCACCAACACTTCAGACCTATAGCTGCAATTAATCCTCTTGTTTTCATTAGTAAACAATGGTAAACTGAAGCTATTATTCTATTGCTGTTATTTGGGACTGATTTGTGTATTGAACTCCATTGCAGGATCTGGTTATTAAGTTGTCGAGTCCAGTCACTGCGTGTTCGACTAGGATTTGTGCCGTGCTTGACTCCTCACGCGTCAGGTTTATCTTAAACACGTTCGTTACTTATTGTGATCTTGCTTCGCTTATTACTGTCAACCGTTAATTTATTAGATTTCATTATTTAAAGTTATTATTCCGCTGCAATTTTAGTGTTTTCCCGTGTTTACTTTGCATAATAGTTTCGTTTAGTCACTTTTTCTATTTCCGATAGATCGTCCTACGTCAACTTTGGCTAGAAAGTATAGCAAAGGGTCTGGTAACAAGTGGCTCGTGTTGCGAGGGATTAGTATCATGAATCTATGGGAACGGATATGGTCCATGGATATCCAATTAAAACTTATGTTAAATACATCCATCAAAAAAAATTGTAACTTTTCTCCAAGTCCTTAATTTTCCGAACACCAAAGATTCAAATACACCATAAATAACATCTGAAATGATCAGTGTTCCATAGGTAGATATGTTGAATAACTATCGCCAAAAGGAATCTTTTATTAATGACAAAGACGAAAGACTAGAGTAGGATGATACAATCTACATCAAGTCCAACCAGGTCCGAACAAACAAACACCAAAACGTAGTACAAAAATTATATATTCAGCCTTATTTATCCGTTGGATTCTATCTTGTTCAAGCCAATCAATAGAGCTGGGGTTATAGTTGAAGCAGCCAATAAAAACCAAAATAACTATTCATAGTAGGCATGAAAGAGCTAAATTAGCCTGTGAAATTTATATTTACACACATGGAAATATTGATCATTTAAGTCTAGTACATCCCCATCAGTTTCTGTAGCAGTATGATGAGGAAACGGTTTCAAGAGAGGAACAACAACAAACAAGTAGATAATGCAAGTGAATCAGGTGATACTCGTATTTTATGCTAAGAAAATGGGTCATGCTTTTTGACGTACAAGTAACAGATACGCTGTGGCGAAGTATTAAGGCTACACGTACCAAAGTAATAAAATCAACCCCACCAATACAACACTGGGAACCTCTTAAGAGAGGCGGCTCATTTAATCTCGTGAAGTCTTCGGATTTGGCATATGAGGAAGAAAACATGAAAGGGTATTGTCAATATTTATATCAGAATATTAAATTAAAAAAACCAGTTTAAGTTAAAATTAGAACCTGATAAAAAGTCAACATGCTTTGTCAATGATGTCTTCTGACAATTAATGCAGAACAGCCAGTTGGGAAATGCATTTAAAGAAACATCAAGTAAAAATGGATGAAATCGATACTTGATCGAGACTGAATTTGTTGTATCTATCATCTCCTTTGCTATTTCAAGTACCTCAGGACTACAATCACAAGCATAGACAACAATGTCTTTGTTTGCCCTGAAAGAAAGCTTATAATGTTAGAATATTATAGCTACAATAGACAGTAGTATGAAGGTAAGGAGATAAATGTTTCATATATGTTGACGTTTAGTAAGAAGAACCCATAACGAGCAATACTTTCTCAATACTTATGCCAGGTTACGAGTCTAAGGCAATGATAGGGGCGGAAAAAAGTAAGAGGCATAAGAAAAGGAGGGGAGGAAAAAGAAGTTACAAGCCTTGGAATGAAAATGGCCAAAACCAACTTTGTGAAGGTGTTTAACTCATCTACATAAGTGTGAGTGGCTTGCATCAAGCACCTCCACTTCTACAGAGGCCATTGCAGACACAACTGTAGGAATAACAAAAGTGGCTAATAAAAACATGACAAAATCATAGACCATCTAAATAGCGTCACCAGAAAGTGTATTGAAAGCAATGAACTTGCATCCAAGATAGTCACTAGAAAGAGGTTTCTCCTACTTAAGTTGCATCAGGCTTCACTTACATTATACAGGTTTTGTCAACTTCATTACACAATCCTTGTATTATGATCCATTGAAAACATGAGGTAGATGGTCTTAACACATTTCGACAAGGCTTAAGAGTGTATCGTTTTCATTAGTTAGAGTTAAACATTTACTAAAGCATAAAGCCAATATCTTGCGTATAGCTGGGTTTGTTAAGAAGATGACACCAACTCAAAAGCTCGATGTCAGATCAAAAACGACTCACTCAGAGGGTCAGATTGGGGAGTTCATAGAGTTAATAAACAAAACAATGCTTGAACAGAACAAGCATTGCAAAGCATTGCAGATAAATAGAAGATCATTGTGTACCATGAAGTCAAAGGGACAAGTTATATAGCACTGTCAAAAGACAAACACTTCATTGGCAAAAATGTCAAGCAACATGTCAAAAAAAAAAAGTAGGGTAGCTGATATGAGAATGTGGAGGTGACCTTGCCACAGAGTAGAATCGTGAAAAGGATCTACAATGTGCATGAAATTATTTCGCCAAAATGGCCTTGTTGTTGCTTGTTGCAGTCCAAGAAAGTTTTAGTCCAATTGAAGGATTATAAAAGTCATAAATGCACACAATATATCAATCTCAATCAAATTATCCCAATGTTCAAGGGCTAAAAAACAATTTTTTTGCGTACGTCCATTAATGTTTACACTACCCCCAAAAAACCTAATATAAATTTAAGAGATTACCGCAAAATGGGAAGAACAGTGCTCCCATTTCCACATCCAACCTCCAAAACCTTGGCGGAATCAACACAAGCTCCCAACTCAGGGAACTCTTTCAGCAAGTACCTCCTCTCCTGCAAAATCCCAAAGAGAAAACGTAGCAAAATGAGAAGAAATCTCACAAAAAGAGAAAAGGTGAGAGAAAGAGAGGGAGAGACCTTGAAGAATTTGCCGGAGGAATGGCGGCGGTGGAAGCTCCTCCATGGCTCTGATGATGATGATGATGAGGAGGAGGAGGAGGAGGACGAGGAGGAGGGGGGAGAGAAGGGGGAGAGATGGTAGTGAAGAGATGGATCGTTCTTGATTTCTTCTTCAACTTCCTCCAATTCGAAATCCTTCGAATGGTATTCTTCTGCCATATTTTTCCTCTGCTCTTTTTTCTCCCCTTCTTTTTATTTATTTTATTTTTCGGGTGAAGAACTTAAAGCGAGGCTAGAGTTATTAGAGCAAATCCAATTTTTTCCGGCCCCTTTCGATATGAGCCTTTTTAATTTTAGGGCTTGTTTGGATTGAGGGGAATGAGAGTGAAGGGAAGTTAGGGGAACCATTCACCTCCATTCACCTTGTTTGGGAACACTTAGGAGGTGAAATTAATTCACCTCCATTCACCTTGGTTCACCCCCTAATAGTATAAAAATTGTTACCCCCAAATTGGGGTGTAACCAAGGGGAAGGGAATTCCCTTCCCTTCCCTTCCTTTCTCTTCCCTTCCCTTCCCTTCACTCAGTTTTCCTTAACTTCCCTTCACCCCCTACGAATCCAAACAGGAGCTTGTTTAGATTTGGAGGGGATGAAGGGAAGTTTAGGGAACCTAGGGGAAGTTAAGTTAAGGGAAGGGAAGGGAATTTCTAAAACTTGTTTAGGAAACTAGTAAGGTGAATCAAGGAGAAGTTATTTCACCCCGTTTGAAAAGTGTAATAACGGGAAGGGAAGGGAAGGGAATGTATATAAATTGGCATAAATACTCTCACATATTATTAAGTTATATCGTTGTTAGAAATTTTAGCCGTTGGATTTTGATCTTAGCTAGGGGTAAATATGTCTATCTACATTTGTTGTATTCCCCCTCTTTACCTTCACCCCCATTACACCCCAAATTGGGGGGAAGAAATCATGTTATTTTTTCACCTCCTTTCACCTCCCTTCACCCCTATTAACTTGCTATATTTACTTCCCAAACAAAGTTAAAAGTTACTCTCTCTTCCCCTCACCCCCATTACCCTCAATCCAAACAAGCCTTAGGGTGTGTTTGGATTTCATTGGCTTTAAGGGAAGTTAAGGGAAACCATGTGAGAGAAGGGAAAGGAAGGGAAGGGAGTTCCCTTACCCTTGGTGAGGGTAACAAATTTTATATTATTAAGAGGTGAACCAAAAAGAACTAGGGGTGAATAACTTTATCTCCTAAATGTTCCCAAACAAGATGAATGGTTCCCCTAACTTCCCTTCTCCCTTATTCCCCTCAATCCAAACAAGCCCTTAGTAAGGGGAAGGAAGGGAAAAAATTCCCATTCCTTCCCTTCTCCTTCATTACACCCTAATTTGGGGTGTAAGAATTTGAACCAAATTTCCTCTATATTCCCCTCCTCTACCTTCTTAAATAAAACTTTCAAACAAGGTTAAAATGAAATTTCTCTTCCCTTTTCCCTCTCTACCCTCCATCCACACAGGTCATAAGGAAAATGTTAAAAGTCCCTTAACATTCCCCTTATAATTTTATATTAATATTTTTTAATGGAGTTAATGTATAGTTAATCAAATTTAGTTAATGTATAGTTATTAATATTTAATTATTTATCGGTGATTTATATAAATTAATTATTATATAATATAATTATTTGTTAAATTTTAATATGATTAATTAATATTTTAATGATTATATAAGGTAATTTCTTAATTGAAATTAATTATTTAATTATTTTTAGTTATCAATATTTAATTATTTATTCATTTATAAATAAACTATATATTTAATTAATCCTAATCTATAAAATTAAAAACACTAAATATGAATAATTAAGGGGTATGGGTACTTTTAAAGGGAACCGTTGGGGGAGAACCTTCCCCTCTCTTAAAAATCCCCCTAGATTTGATGACATTAAATCCGTACTAAATGAATATTAATTATTAAACTATTGAGTATTGGGTTCATGCACAGATTTAGAGATTTGATTTTTATTTAGTGCATATTAAATACCGTTGACCGTTTTAACTAGATAGTTTTTTCTATTAATAATAGAAGTATATAGGTTAAGGGTGTGTTTGACAGTCCTTTAAAAGCGGGTTAGAAGTGACTAGCTCAGTTTTAGATGTTTCTTTATTTTTCAAAATACCGAGCCAGAATTATCTAACATTTTTGTAGGCCAGATTTTGGCCCTTTAGTTTATAATTGGGTCATACTGATTTTGGCCTGCTCTAGGTGGTAGAATATTTTAATTGATTATTTCAGAACTACTATAATGTGTTTATACCTGCATTGACATTTAATTAGGGTTTAATTTCAAAAAAATCCTTGAACCTTGGGTGGTTTCATAGATTACCTCTCTTATTTACGTGCAAAACCCCTCAAAAGTTCAACGGGATTTTGTGACAAAAAGATAGTTCAGGTGGTTATCTGTAAAACACCAAGGGTTGATTTTTTTCCCCGCAAGGTATCCCTAGAACCCTATGGTTTGATTTTTTTTTTTCTCCCCACGAGATATCCCTACATCTTATTATGAATGAGACTAATCTCTGCTCGTGTTTCATGGTCGGGACTAGCATGCTATGAATCGTACCCCAACATGAGCGCAATGGGGCCTTACATCGCTGCGCCTACCTTGCGGGTTTAAGTAATAAAACAATCTTAAGCTTTTGTCAATTCAACCTTGTCAACTAGCAGAGATTAGATCAGATTCCAAACTAAAAATAATTAAAACCGACAATTGGACACCTTTAAAAATTGCAAGACCAGCTCTACATTCTTGGGTCACAGTAGTAATCATTCCAATAAAGGAAGAGATTATACCAGGAGCCTTAAAGTCCAAACGCAAAGATTTTAATCTTCACAGGCAAATCCATAATCACAACCAAAAATAAAATAAAAATTAAAAAAAATTTCAAACTTATACCATAACTCCCATATCTTTCAGCTGAGGCTATTATAAAAAAAACTTATAATCAACTAAGCAAAGAACATTAAGTCATTAAGATTGTCTTCTAGCTCAGAACACAGAGAAACATACAAGGCAACTAATTAGATAACCACCCGAGGTCAAAGTTATCAGGGTTCAACTCCATGACTTGACTAGAAACAGCCATGGCATGCGCTTCCCCTATGAAAATCGTCTCAGAAGTATCATATAGTTAAATGAATCAGCAATTGCAGGGGCCCCTAAGCAATTACCAGAATGGAAAAAAGTTTCAAACCTACAAAAGCCTGCTCTTTGCTATCAGTAACAAAATACCAGGAAAATGTGCTTTTCACCCTTTATACAAATTTATTAGCAATAAAAACACGCTACTCCTTCGGCTTCGCAAGAAGCTGCCAACCAAGTCACAAGTCACCAGCTAACTCCTCTTTAACATCGACCAAGAAAATAAATGAATCTACCAACTATCTGCATCCAGTTGCTCAGTTCTCGGTGTATAATCTATGGCGTGTCGACACAAAGTTGAATCAAAAAACACTATCTTGAGTTCTGTATACATAAGTTTGGTATGCTCACAATGGGTAACATCAAAATATGATGGGCGTCCATGGAGAAAGAATTTAAGTAAAACACCGTCGCAGCCTAGGCCCAGATAGAGAAATTGATCATGATAAATCTGGCTCAACATAGAGAGATGCTGATGCATAACAATGAACTAGTTTACGCTTACTGTTCTAGGTATTATGCAGGACTCTATAAAGCTCTTCTCTCATGGAATGCAAAACCACTGGCTTACGAATCAACCCATTCATCCCAGACTGCAAGCACTTTCCCCAAACCCCATCCTCTGCACTCGCTGTCAAAGCCAGAATCGCCGGCCAAGACCCATTCCGAAGCTTCCGGATCTTCAGAGCCACCTCAAACCCATCCATTCCAGGCATATTCAGGTCCAAGATTATAAGCTGAAACGGTGGGGTTCCAAAAGAGCCAAGGGAACCAAGGCATTGGATTCCAGAAGAGACTGAGGTTACGTAGCATCCTAACTTCTCAAGGAGCTTTCGAGTGACTGCTCTATTGACAACATCATCGTCAGCTAATAAAACTCTGAGGCCTTTGAATTGAGGAGTGGAAGCTATCTGGTGGTGGTTCTGGTGATCTAAAGATCCTCCCCCTCCAAGTTCAGATAATGGAGTGAGAGGCTGTAGCTGAAAGTGAAGGATTAGAATTATGGTCTCTGGGGTGCCTTGAGGATTGGGGATAGCCCAGATGTTCCCTTGCATCATCTGTAGAGATTCAAGACAAAGATTGAGGTTTAGTATATAAATATGATATGTAAGTGACACTAAGATTTTTCACGAGTAACCCATTAGGAGACATTAGCTTCGTGCCATACAACTCATTAGTTCAGAACCATCGTATTGCATTTATGTGTCTCCAAATGAGAAGAAAAGAAAAGGAATACCAGCCTGTGCAGAGCTATAGGGCCACAGGCGTAAGGTTCGAAGGTAGTTCTTGCATATAGGTTTTATTTTAGAGTAAGGATGTTCTTTAATCTACTTTCTTTGATCAAATTTCTATTTTTGAAAGTTATCAGCTCCTCTTTTCTCGGCTATGATAAAGATAATTGACAAAATTACAATACCAAAAATACATGACACAACTTGGGATAGAAGCCATGATCCTAAAGCCAATTCCTTTAGTGGGTATTACATCTGTTCAATAATGGCTATGTAACTTGAGTTGTTACAGAAATAGAAAAAAAGATAGGTCTGTGCTGTCCTTCATGGTGATATTGGTATTTGGTTGAAATAGAGGGTGATTCTTGCTTTCCACCAACAACACAGCATGTGAATGATAATGGTTTTCTTGATGATGTGTCATTTGTTATTCTCTGTTTCCGCAGAAAATCCATTTGCATCTTGTAGTTCCAGAATGGTCAGTAAGTATTCAGTATTCACAATAGCTCAAAGCTCAAAACATAAAACACTTTTCATTAACAGGTTTCCCAGTTGTGATAAAAGGCGCCCAGTGGGATAATGTTATGAAGAGACCTCAGAATAGAATTTGAGCGCTTGGTAACCCAGATTTACTTGATCAACGTCTTTGTCTTGGGCTTCACATTGAAGTTTTCAGTCATAAGGTTGATTTTACAGAAAACCTTCCATTATGCTCCAATCTCTATTTGGATTGTACTTGACCCGTAGTGTCAAAGAGATCTTTGAAGTTTTAATACCTTTTCCCATGTACGGTGGAAAATTTTGATCACCTTGATCCCAGTTCCAGGTTTTGCCATCAATGATAATCGCAAATAAAAACCTTTGCAATTTGACAATTTGCTAGTGACTATGCTGCATGGGTACTTTTACTGGAAGTTATACCCATACCCAACACGTACCCATACCTGAATGGAAACTTCTAGACACTTATTGAATATATGCATACATTATTCAGGCGTATACTCAATTGTATAATATGTGTTTTAATTTAGAATACTCATACACTTCTCGGACGTATATCCTACACTTCACATATATTTCTTATATATTGATCTTATGTGAATGAAAAGACAATATTAATCTTATGTAAATAGTAACTTTAATACATACAAATATGCGTAACATCTATATATATAGTTGCGTCCCCGTACCCTACCTTTTACAAGCTTGCCACGTCCCCGTACCCGTGCAACTGAGGCTAGTGGATACTGATATAATTATCAACTCCCACACACTACTAGGTTGTATTTTTTGAGAAGGATAGAACTCATCAGCGTAACCTACATAATCGGAAATATGAGAGAAGGAGAGGGAGAGGGGGAGAGATAGGGAGCTCTAAGCCAGATTGACCCCTAATGTTTACCAGACATTTCTAAGAAACCCTTAATTTAATATTTTAACCCATTAAGCCCTTAGTTATTATTTCTAGTCTATTGAATGACTATGCTTCCCCACCGAGAGTTTTCCCACTCTACCCTCAGCAAAACACTGTTTTTGGCTATGTTTAGGGCGGAGCACCAGCATGTGGACTTAATTGACTGGAAACTATGATACATGGGTACTTCTATTTGAAGCCGTACCCATACCCGTCACGTACCCGCACCCAAATTTCCTCAGACACTCCTTGAATATATGGATACATTTATTCAGCCTTGAATATATGGATACATTTATTCAAACGTGTGGTCAGTTATAAAATACTCGTTATACCCTTCTTGGATAGACATCCTCGACTGCACATCCACGTTATGATCTACATATAAAAGAAACATAGAAATGTTTTAAGAATTTTAATTCTCATAGCCTGTGAATGAAAAACAATATTGATCATGTAAATTATTAATTTCTATATCTGTATATAGCCGTGTTCTTGCACCTACCATTTACAAATTTACCATGTCCTGTATCCATACCCACTTCCATCCAAAATAGACTGAAAATAATAACTAAATGGGATCAAAGGTTTAAAATTTTAGGTTAGAACTTATTAGAAATGTAAGATAAACTCAGGGGCTGATTTGACTTTGAGTCTGAGGGTTAGGGGATGTTTATTTTAGGAGAGGCAGCAAGTGTCATAAACCATCCAACTTAAACTGAGAATTGTGTTTTGGTAATAATTACAATGCATATTGCAGAAAATCATAATAAAAATAATAATACAATTAAATGCTATTGGGCTTGCTTTCTAACTCCGCAAACAACATGTTGCTCCTCTAGAAACTACAATGATTGACTTGCCCTCCTGAAAAAGGTTCCTTTTTTTATTTTTCAGATAGAAACCTCTTGCCAGCTAAAGGACTTTGACTCTGTTTTTAACTCCATCTTTTTGGAGGAGTTAAAGCTCCCTCATAACCTTGAATCGGTCCATACACCTCTCTTACTCCCTCCAAAAAAATTAAGGATTTTACCCTCCCACCCCCACATCCCACCCTCCTCTACCCCCAATCCCCAACCCTTGTTCTGGCCAAATAGGCGCTCTTACACAAACCCAAGTGAAATCAACATAATTAAGGAAGCTTCACACATTATGCACATTAGAAATTTTATTATTTCCTTAAATAAAACTTTATAAAATCAAATAGTCAATGCACCTTTAAAATCTTTTGCAGTTTGAGAGTGTTGTCAAAAACATCTGAGAGGGCAAAAACAGAGATCACTAGAACTTTGTTTATTTCGTTGAATAAAACTTTATAAAATAAAAATAATCAATGCACCTATAAAATCTTTTGTAGTTTGAGAGTGTTGTCAAAAACATTTGAGGGGGCAAAAACAGAGATCTCAAGGACAAAAAAATCATCATGAACATCTCACACTCGACACTCATGGCATAAATTATAATAGATAATTGTAAAATGCATAAACTAGCATAACTACAAACTACAGTAATTTCCAGAAATAAATAGAAGAATGGATATAAATCCATTGAGATAAATAAGGTTAGTACTAAATCTAACGTTATAAAAAGAATTAAGACATTAGCTAACCTGCACAATCTTCTTGCACATGCTGAAGCTAAGGCCCATGTCAAAAGCTTCAGAATTAGGCCACCAAGCAAGCTGTACCAATGAACTTGAATCACTATTTTCTGGTTTCTTGATTGCAATCTCAAACTTCACACAAGGATATCCATCAGAAAGGTTTGATTTCCACGGCATCCATCTCTGATCTAGCCTGTCTTTATCCTCATTATAGCTACAAACTCTGAATGCAACAAATCCTTCATCGCTCCCATTCAATAAATTTGCCACAATATGCAATATTACTTGAAAGATCCTCTTCTCATCACCTACAACTCGATCAGGAACAACATTCTCAACCTGAAACCCAAAACCAAAACCTCTACAATCACATAAACATCTTGCGACACTAGCAGCCTCCTTAATCATAGAATGCAACCTGAAAGATCTTGGCTCTAAAGTAAGCCGTTCATTGTTTATAGTGGATATTTCCATCACATCATTGATTAAAGTTGAAACTACACCACCGGTTTTAGACATAGTATTGACAATGAGCCTCTGTTCAGGATTCAATTTATCTTGTTGCAGCATAGACAGCAAGCCGAGAATAGAATGGATCGGTCTCCTCATCCCCTGACTTATAACATTTTGGAAAGAATTCCTTGCTTCACTTGCCATCAAAACATTCTCTTTTTCCCTCAACAAAGCCCTATTCTGCTCCTCTAATTTGTCTCGCATCAGCTGGGATTCCTCCAAAACTGCAGCATGTGAGAGGGCTACAGCGACCTGATCAGCCACCACTTCAACAATCTCCAGTTCATGGCTACTCCAATGCCTACAATTACCACCCGGGAGAACTAAGACTAATATTGCATAGTGGGTTTGAATAATTTCCGGTGTCCCGCCTTTGAAGTTGGAAACTTTTAGCATTGGCATTCGAATCGCAGCCACTGGTCCTGGTTCAATAGCAGATCCTTCACCACTGGCAGAAGCAAGCATTGAATCCGGTCTTAGTATCTTCACACCCTTGGCTTCTTTAATTTCTAATACATCCGGGTCATCAATGGAAATCGATTGGCTATACAAGTTTGAAGGGATCCTCGGTCTCAGCTCATGAGTCAGATTCATCTTTTTCTTATCCTCACTTGGCATCCACACCGCACAATTTTGCAACCCCAAAGTATTTGAGAGCTCAACCAAAGTGGTGTACAAGATGGTGTGTCTATCAAGTGATTTCCGAATCTCTTGAGTCAGCATTCTCACATGCCAACTTGTTTCCTCCTGCATCTTCATCATTCCAACTTCTCGATCCAACTCCCGGGCTTTTATTCTCAAGAAATTCTCTCTCACTTTGATTCTCAAGAGCTGAGGGATCAAAGTCAATAGGGTTATCGCCGTCGCAAAGGAGACAAGGGCAGTGAAGAACTTGGAGATGGTGAGGCTCAGCATCAATAGAAAAGAATGGGGTTCGTAGGTGAAGACGTTGAGAAGGTGGGTTAACCCGCAAAGAACTATGAAGGCACCGAACTGGATAACTATCCATTTGAAAGGGAAAAGATTGGAGCAAGTGGCGAAGTATAGAAGTTCCAAGGGAATAGAGAAATAGGCTGTAGCAATGAGGAAGTCACTCACTTTCTGACATTGGAGAATACCTTCGACGGTCCAGATGCTGTCGCCATCGCAGTTGCATCGAGGGAAGCCAATCTCAACAGCAGATGATTGGAAAAGCAACAGAGCAGAGACCAGCAAGCCACAGCACAACGATCTTAACATTTGCTCTAAGAAACTTCATTCAATCTATTCCTGCAAGATAATTTCTGGAAATGAATCTGGCCACCAAAGCAACACCAGCCCTAGTTTCCAAATCTAAGGATACCTTTGTCAGCCCTAAAACAAACACAGAACAAATCACCATCAAATAAAGAAAATTACCAATTAGGCAAAGAAATAAGAAAGGTCCCAGAAGTCTGAACCCAAAATTGATATATGCGATAAATATCATCTATCTATGTATACACATAACAAAAGACCCAGTAATCAAAAGTTTTGATATAAAAAAAGAAGCTGTAATCAGCCAGAGGACTTCAAGATCCTCAAAAGTACAACCAAAAGGAATAAAATAATTCTCAAATCTAGCATACCCAATAACCTAAATCCAGCAGCGAGAGATCCACACCCATCAAAATCTCATCTTTTCATCTCCCATATTCACCGCCCCTTACCCTTCTATCACTATATATTAATGAAGGAAATAAAAAAGGAAATATTTTGGAGACTGGGTATAAAGTAAACCAACTGGAAATTAAAAGTAAATAGCAGCAAACAACAAATGGAAGCCGTACCCGTAACACCACCATCCCCAGTCCACAAGAGAAGAAGGGCAAATCCCCAGTAATTCATTCACCCAAGGGCCCATCTGCAAAAATACAAAACAAAAAACTTCGGCAAGCTCAAAACAGCAGCGAGTAGTTTTCTTTGAATTCCTAGTGCATCCTCATCCTCCTCTGCTGGGATTTTTCCACCCATGGCATTTGAAAGTTCGAGGGGTCAGCCAGAATTGGGAGGAAAGTCTGGGTCTTTTCAGGATTTTGACGAGTCATAATCTATATTTTTTTTATTTTTTTTAACTTGTATCATTCAAGCATGGGTCGAAGAGAGAAATAAAGAGGGAGGCACAGGAGAAAAAAAAGGCAAGATGCAACACGAAACAAATGAAGCGGATCCCGAAAATAAACAAATGAGGGGCTTGATATTTCTACTCTCTCTTCCTTGAGGGGGCATCGGTCAATTGGAACTGGTAGGATATATTATATTGGGATAATTTTATGGAAGTGGGATATTTTAGTAGAACAATGAATGATAATTTTATGAAAGTGTGATATTTTGAAAGTGGGATAATTTTTTGAAAAATGATTTAAGGACCCAAAATATGAGACCAAGGGAGGGGACAAGTGTCCCATATTTTAGGTCCCCGTAGCACCACTCTAATTTTTTGAGGCGAGACAAACATTGTAAAATAACATGGTATAAATTTAATAAAATCAAAAGGTTATAATTTATGCATTTTGATGATATAATATTTTAATTTACATCTTTCTTATTCGTGAAGAAGAAAAGCAAATGGCAGTTCAAGTCTTAAAGGATATAGTGTGAGATTATAAGAAGTACATTATTAAATGGAGAAAATTAAGAACTCATGGTACTATACAATCACATTAAAATCACGTATAATATTATTTAACTAGCTTAATAGTTCATGTCAAATGTAATTCGTGTCGTCCAGATTTAAATCAAAGATTAGCGGTTACTAAAAAAGGAGCGATGACATTAAAACCACATATATTATTTAACTAGCTCAATAGTTCACGTCAAATGTAACTTGTGTCGTCCATATTTAAATTAAAGATTAGGAATAACTAAAAAAGAAGCATGTAGTTAGCAATTATAAATAAGCATGGCTTTGTAATACACAAGAGAACCAATTTGTTCCAGTTTGGTTCTACTCTAAAAAGTGGGATAAATTTAGAAACTAGAACTGACCTTTTCTATATAGCAGTGGGATTATTTTTTTTTTACAATTATCCCATACTACTTTTGTATCGGTTCTAATTGAATAACACTTTAAAATTTTATCACATTAAAAGTTCTAATTGACTAACACCACACAAATTTATCATACAAATTATTCCGGTTCTAGTTATAGTTCCGCTTAGATAACCATCCCAACTATATTGTGTCTTATAAAACCGCTGGTTTTACACTTTTCTCATCAAACTCTTTGATATCATTGCTTTAAAAAGTTAAATGATCGAAATATTCTTTTGAGAAAAGACTCATTCCAGCTAAGAAAACTCAACCAATAAAAAGGTGCACGTCTCTCTCTATAAATATAGCGGCTAGGTCACTTTTTCT